TGCTGAGTGTTATCTTTTCTATGAAGTAAAAGCTTTAAGTGGTTGAATGGTTTTTTTCAGTATTTGCTTCTATATGTCATGACTATACCTTATCAGCGTTTTCTGGAGGTGCACCAGATGCTGCTTCTCCCTCTTTTGGCTTTTCTGCTGGCGGTGCAGCTGCCCCTTCACATTACTTTTGGCTTTTCTGCTGGCGGTGCAGCTGCCCCTTCTCTTCCTTCGGTTGTTCTTGTGGCGGAGCTGCTGCCGCTGCGCCTTCTTGTGCAGGAGCTGGACCCTGAAAGTGAAATCTGAGTTTATCAAAATGTTTTGATTTGATTATTTGGTACCTGTTGCATTATATTTCATGTTTTTCGCAAATTCACCTCCATAAATGGCCGCGGCCACATTCAAACTTGGACCGGTGTCACTACTATACTGGTGTGCAAAACTTAAGGACGAGATGGATAAATTGACCTAACTTATTAACAATTAGATGGAATTGGATGAAACTGTGCAAGGCATAATGCTAGAAGCCCTACAGTCATGGGCACAAAGTGGGCCTCATATGTCTTGCATCCGGCTTCAATCTGGAGCCAAAATGGAGTGGCCACCCAGAACGAGGGGTTTGGTGGGGCAGGACAAGAGGGAGTGTACTGAGCAGGGAGAAGTTACTGTGGAATGTAGTGGTGTTCTTGATTACATCAAGTCTCAGAGACAACACTAGGGTGACTTTACGCGAGGAAGAATCATTGGGAAACTGGAAGAAAGGAAGATTTGTAACGAGTGTGGTCCAGGAGTTTTGTGTTGCTCCACAGCATTGTTTTGTGTGCATGAGAAGCAATATGGACTGCAGCCACTGCTGCCCCTAGAAGAGTAGGTGGTGGATCACGATCAACTGCAACAGCAGGTGATTGCTAGTTTTGCAACAGGCAAAATGGACCCACGTCAGTCACAAGCTGCAGTTGCAAAAACATTTATCAGGATTGTAAGGCACGTAATCCCATGGTCCCTCCGAACGACCAACAGTGTTCCTTCGAAGCCAGCGCATTGGCGGGAATATTTGCTAGGTGCTTGACGATGGACCAGATTTTAATAATCGCGTGTTCTTCTCAGTTAAGATCAAATTGGATGTAAGTAGTGATTTGGACTTACCGCATGTGGCGAGAATAGGAACATGTAATGCACCCAGGACCATCGTTCAACATGATTGTTTTGATAGTCCATTCGATATGGTGTGGGGAGGCATAAAGTTGCAAGGGCGTACCAATCCTCCCAACTCCTGATCGCGGAATGCTTTCTGATCGACGTTATTGTGACGCTGTACTCCTCACTTATGTGCATCTTTTCAAGGGTGCCTTGACCTCAACTTCAATCGTATGGAGGACAAGTGTGCGAGAGCATCGAGCAGCCTAGGTGGAAAACTCTTGGAAAGCGAGGATTTCCGGCGATTGGTGAAGCCTGCCCGCTTCCCCCAGTCAAATTCTATGGAGCACGTGTGGCTTGCATTCAGGAGAGCTATTGTAGCGCATCCCCATGCGCCAACAATTGTCCAGCAGTTGTCTGTCGCGGTTGAGCGGATCTCTTCTCCACAAGAACTTTGCAACGATTTTTGACTTTTTTGTTTGTCTGCGGCGAAAAACAGCAGTTATCAAACAAAAACAAGTCAAAAGCAGTCAAAATCATTGCTAAAGCTTTCAGCCTCGCGGTCATTGCCGATATCGGCTAACCGGCTCAACACGTTATACGTGTGAGTGCTGAAAGCTATGGTACGTATACCATGAAAAGCTGAGTTGGAATGAAATGGTGCCCCGGTAGCGTAACTGGTAGCGCACTTGCCCGGAAAGCGAGAGGTGCGGGTTCTAGTCCCGCCTGGGGCGAAAGTTTTGTTCACAACCCAGCATTCTTGTGAATATCTCTATAATTTTGGTGTTGTTGTTTTCTCACGTAACGCTGTAAGTCTGCAATCACGTCTAATCCTTGCACGAGAAACATTGTGTACATTCAAGCAATTTGTTTTTCGTTTGCGAAAGGTACTGTAAGCTTCAGAAGAGAGAAAGGGAACTGGGAGCTATTCCAGTGAGAAGACATACAGTGCGCTAGTTAATGCCGCTTACAGTTATTCGAGTTTTTGCAGGCAGGAAATTTTTCGGGGGCGTGTATTATTTCGCTTCTGGTTTACCACCCACCCCGAAGCTTCTTTCCACTTAGAAAATTGGGTTTACTGCAGGCGGCGACCCGTACTGTTCCCCACTGCCTCCCCCATCGTTATTGGTGTGCATAATGACAATGTTTTTGGGAAACCGATGTCCAAAAGTGTGTCGCTCGAGCTTTTTCTGCATTCAAAAGGTGGCTCAAAAAATACACCATAGCTCTGTGTTTCACGCATGTATCCCACATCGTGTAAAAGCGGTTGGGTGGAGGACCACAGTGCACTGTAGGATCCCAGCTTGGGAGGGAAAAGGTCGTACTACCAGACAAATTTCGTAACAGTCATAAGAAGCTTACCTTTTGGCTAGAATCTTCAATTTCTTTCGCAGTGTGCACATCCTCCTCCGGCTGTAAAAAAAGTCTCAAGAAAGCGTGCTCGAGCAATGAATTGTTATGAAAGTCATAACAGTGATCAATGCCCATTTGTTTCTAAAAAGCGGAGCACGACCACAAAGACCTTCCTGGTTATGTAGCGTACTTTCAAAAATGGGTGGGAAAAGCATTCGATGGATTGAGGCTTGGAAATCATCATGGGTTTTGGGAAATGATATTTTGACAAAATTTTGAGTCATCTTCCTCCCGAGACCCCGCTTCGCGATTTTTTGTGCTGACCAAAGTTTTGAATAATTCACGCAACGTATGATTTGGGCTGTTGGGTGGAGGACCACGGTGCACTGTAGGATCCCAGCTTGGGAGGAAAAGGTCGTCATCTACGCTAGACCACTTCGTAAACAGTCGCATAAGAAGATTACCTTGCTATAATGCTGCAATTTCTTCGCAGTGTCACGATCCTCCCATCCGGCTGTACAAAAAAAGTTCAAGAAAGGCGGTTAGCATGAATTGTTACGATAACGTCATCCCCAATGATCATGCGATCGGTGAAATAAGCACCGCCATGGAAGACTCGTCTGCTTCGCAAAAATTGTAATAATACCAAAGTTTGGTAAATGTACCAGTAAACACAGAAGTTCTTCCAGGGTTGGTGCGATAGTGGGCTCCCCAAAGCACTGAGGGCGCGACACTATCGCGACCCAAAAGTGCGCGGCAATGGCGCTAAGGCCTTGCCCGCCGCGCTGCCCGCGCTGCCAGCGTAATCCACCACGGCATACGTGGTCTCTGCGTCCTCTCGCGTACGACGTACTATCTCGCGTTCTCCCTCTCCTCGCAGCGCTGTGTCTCTCCGTCGTACTACGGCCGGCCTCCTAAGGGGAATTTAGTGTTTTCTATGGTGCTTTTTGCTTTTTCTCCTCACTAATGTTCCTCATTGCACCCCTTGATTAATGTTTAAACAAAATATTGCAGCAATTCAATCCCGACTCGTGCCTTTAAGGAAGGATTTGAACGAGCAAGGAGTGCATCATATATCAGAGTGATCATCTATCAATTTTAACCGAATATCAGAGTTGAAATAGTTGCCGATTTGATCAAATTTTCTTCGCTCTGGTTCACTTCGCAAGACTGAAACTCGATTCGAATCCCAAGGACTGCAGAACAGCGAAGCACATAAACACTATTCGAGATTCGTATGTGTTGAGGATAATTTAGGAAGGCTTCTATTTGAAACATCGGTACATCTAATCGGACAAACTGCACCATTTCATGATGGTCAGCCACCTACAAGCTAGAACGCGCCTCACGGACCCGACAAGCTAAGAACCGCTCATTAAGCTTTCTGGAAAACTACTTCGTGAAAAATGTGTCGAATGTGTCACTAACTTTCGAGAGCTATACGAAGTTATTACGAGGTTGAAAATGCCGAAAAAATTTCATGTGCGTTATTCCAGAAAGAATCCTATATTTCAAAATGATATTTCTTCGTTGCGCTTCATTTTTGCTCATTGAAACTTGTTTCGAAAGAAGCTCAAAAAAGGAGTAAGCGCCTTGGTAGTTAGTTTTATTAGGCAAAAATGAATTTAACACATTAACGACAATGCGAGTTTTGGCATTTTTGGCCACGTGGGACCGGGGCGCTTTTGCCGGCGCAACCGCCTCAGGTCGTTCAAGCAGATTTTAAAGTGATAACTACATAAATAGTGATCAATACAAGACCAAATCACTAAATTGTAATGAGCACAACCTACTCGGGGGTCCAGTAGTGGAATTTCGATCGAAAGACGTGGAATAACAATGAAAAAGCGAAATTTGCCAGAACTAGCTGCAATGGACCTCAAAAGCAATTTTAGTTGATTATTTCAATCAAAACACACATGCTGTCATCCCTAAGGTCCTGTATTTACTTATGTTTACTATTTAAATCTTCACATTCATTAAAAGAAAAAGTAATCGAAGGATTTATTAAGCTGAAGACTTCGTATGGCCCGAAAATCCTCCTCTAAATTGAAGCATACGTAACCATCTAAGGGCCACTATGTTTGTAGCTACGTCAAGGTCTCTTCCATGGAATGAATACAAGAAACTTCTAAAAGAATCAGGCGTGCGCGAAAAAAATGAGTGTAATGGGTGCGGGGGATATATATCCCGCACGGTCCGACATGGCCTGCAATGCGCGGGATATATATCCCCCGCGTTGTCGTCAATGTGTTAAAAAGAAAATTGCCACGTGGCTGTCCATTTTGAAAACATAGAAAAAGGAACATTTTGAAACATAGGAAAAGCAATTCTTCTGAAAAACGGTGCATAAAATGTTTTGGTATATTCAACCTAGAGTTTCGTGTTGATTTTCGAATTAGCGATCACATTCGACATATTTCACTCTTCGGACAGTTTGCCATAACGTTTGTGGGATATGAGGTTTTGAAAAATTTGTATGTGGCGGTATCATTCTGAGCTGCAGAGTCCTATTGGACCACTCAGGTTTCCCCAGGAAATATTTTATGAGACGGGAAGTATCGTACCTTATCGCCTTCGGGAGCAGATGGTTCTTTCTTTTGATCACCTTGCGATGCAGCAGCTGCGTCCTTCTGCTGATCTGCTGCAGCAGCTCCATCTTTCTGCTGATCACCCGCAGGTGCTGCAGCTCCGCCTGCCTGTGCTTGACCTGGCTCCACTTCGGCTTCTTTATCTTGATCTCCTGGCTCCTTTGGAGCCTCTGCTCCTGGCTGTGCTTGCGGTGCTCCCTTATCTGCAGCTTCCTTTGGCTGTTCTGCTGGTGGAGCTGGTGCCTCTTTGGGTTTATCTCCTGGCGTTGGCTCCTCTTTCGGTTTGTCTGCTGGAGTTGGCTCTTCTTTCGGTTTCTCTCCTGGAGCAGGTTCTTCTTTAGGCTTTATCTGCTGGAGCTTGGTTCTTCTTTCGGTTTCTCTCCTGGAGCAGGTTCTTCTTTAGGCTTATCTGCTGGAGCTGGTTCTTCTTTCGGTTTATCTCCCGGAGCAGCACCTGCCTGTGCTTGACCCGGCTCCACTTCGGCTTCTTTATCTTGATCGCCAGGCTCCTTTGGAGCCTCTACTCCTGGCTGTGCTTGCGGTGCTCCCTTATCTGCAGCTTCCTTTGGCTGTTCTGCTGGTGGAGCTGGTGCTTCCTGCGGTTTATCTGCTGGCGCAGGCTCTTCTTTAGGCTTATCTGCTGGAGCTGGTTCTTCTTTCGGTTTATCTGCCGGAGCAGCACCTGCCTGCGCTCGAACCCGGCTCCACTCCGGCTTCCTTTATCTTGATCACCAGGCTCCTTTGGAGCCTCTACTCCTGGCTGTGCTTGCGGTGCTCCCTTATCTGCAGCTTCCTTTGGCTGTTCTGCTGGTGGAGCTGGTGCTTCTTTCGGTTTATCTCCTGGCGTTGGCTCCTCTTTCGGTTTGTCTGCTGGAGTTGGCTCTTCTTTAGGCTTCTCTGCTGGAACAGGTTCTTCTTTCGGTTTATCTGCTGGAGCTGGTTCTTCTTTCGGTTTATCTGCCGGAGCAGCACCTGGCTGTGGTTGACCCGGCTCCACTTGGGCCCCTTTATCTTGACTGCTCGGCTCCTTCGGAGCCTCTGCTCCTTGTTGTGCTTTGGCTGTCTCTGCTGGTGGAGCGGGTTCCTCTTTAGGTTTATCTCCTGGCGTTGGCTCCTCTTTCGGTTTGTCTGCTGGAGTTGGCTCTTCTTTAGGCTTCTCTGGTGGAACAGGTTCTTCTTTCGGTTTCTCTCCCGGAGCAGGCTCTTCTTTAGGTTTATCTCCTGGCGCTGGCTCCTGCTTCAGTTTATCTGCTGGAATTGGCTCTTCCTTGGGCTTATCTGCTGGAGCAGGTTCCTCTTTCGGGCTTCTCTGCCGGAGAGCACACTTGGCTGTGGTTGACCCGGCTCCACTCCGGCTTCTTATCTTGATCACCAGGCTCCTTTGGAGCCTCTACTCCTGGCTGTGCTTGCGGTGCTCCCTTATCTGCAGCCTCCTTTGGCTGTTCTGTTGGTGGAGCTGGTGCTTCCTTCGGTTTTTCTCCTGGTGCTGGCTCTTCTTTCGGTTTGTCTGCTGGAGTTGGCTCTTCTTTCGGTTTATCTGCCGGAGCAGCACCTGGCTGTGGTTGACCCGGCTCCACTTGGGCCCTTTATCTTGACTGCTCGGCTCCTTCGGAGCCTCTGCTCCTGGTTGTGCTTGTGGTGCTCCCTTATCTGCAGCTTCCTTTGGCTGTTCTGCTGGTGGAGCGGGTTCCTCTTTAGGTTTATCTCCTGGCGTTGGCTCCTCTTTCGGTTTGTCTGCTGGAGTTGGCTCTTCTTTAGGCTTCTCTGGTGGAACAGGTTCTTCTTTCGGTTTATCTCCTGGAGCTGGTTCTTCTTTCGGTTTCTCTCCCGGAGCAGCACCTGCCTGCGCTCGAACCGGCTCCACTCCGGCTTCCTTATCTTGATCACCAGGCTCCTTTGGAGCCTCTACTCCTGGCTGTGCTTGCGGTGCTCCCTTATCTGCAGCTTCTTTTGGTTCTGCTGCTGGAGCTGGTTCTTCTTTCGGTTTCTCTCCCGCAGCAGGTTTATCC